ATAACTAGCTATAAAGGAACGGGCTTCCAGTATACTAAATTGACGTCATACTGTTCAGTGGTCGCAGTGTATATCGGAACATATCCTATATCATGTATACAAAAAAAGCATACCAGACTGCAACAAAATGTCGAGCTTTCTTGATCGATTTTGGATTTAAATTAAAATAGATAAAGAATTTAAATCGATTGGAGGAATTGCCAGTACCGTATAACCTGGAGTAATGTTGACTCTATCACATTATGGTACTTATGTTAGTTGTAATCAATTAATCAAGAAAAAAATGTTTCATACATTTAAGTACAGTCAACAGCACGTCAGACTATACAAAACTTTCAACTTTCCCCACTCTATTTTAAACCTTAATACATCATAGGTATATGTCAAAATCATTGCAGAAATTTAACACATTATGGTAACCTGACGTGCAGCTATGTGTACATTATGCACGAAACATAAGTGTGTGCGAATTGAAGTCGTATGAACGCAAATGTTAATTTCACATATGAATACACGGTAGCATGTCAAGATCACAACATGTAAATCATTCGTGGTACAAAAACAAGTACAGAATTTTGTAAATTATTTATAAGATATTATAGTGAACCTATACATAGTTATCAATAAACAAGGTTTAGCGTTGGAATAAATGTAGTAAATAATGTACGCTGAGACTGCACTTAGTATTAATCAAAATTCATATTATTAAACAGAAACTTAGCAAAAGTTAACCTCGTACGAATCGTAATAAATAAAAGAATCGTAATTTTTACTCTAGAAGATAGTAGGTTTGCTTATTCTCTGTATAATATGAATTATTACTTATACTAAAATTGAGATTTTAGCGTAAATTTACTCTGACGCTAAACGTTGTTTATTTATAACACTGTAAGATTTTTCTTTTGAAAAATGGTTTAAACTTTTGTAGATATTAATATTAACCTGACCTCAAAATAAGTTTCTAGATAATGTTTTCATAAACATTATCTAGAAACTTATTTTGATAATCTATCAATATTTTTACCGTGCTATATGACAATGTAGCATGCGACAGCTATACTGAATATATTGGACATTTTCAGGGTGGAAAAATCGATAAATGGGAGACGTTCGCGTGTGGAAGAACTCAAGATCAGCTCGATCTGACCATCCTAGCTCATCAGTATTTGAGAAAAACTGCGCTCAAACCCCGTTCTCTTAACTTCTAACTTCGAAACAAATTAAATTTAACTTCACAATCAGCATTAAATACGTGATTACATCTCAAATAGAATAAGACTTAATTAATTTCAGACAGAGCACCTGATATAGTCATATTTTATGAAAAAACATATTTTGGAAAAGCAATAAAATTATGAAAAATAGAATTCGTTTGCTAAAAGTACAATGAGATATTTGATAATGGTTTTTGAATTCAATATCTAATTGTAAACATAGACAAATATTTTCGAAAACTTAAATCCTGACAACACCTAAATAACCTCATAATAATAATTGTAGTAGTGAATCATTTAAAAAACGACTCATAATGAAGAATTCACATATGAGTCTTTTTATCAATTGATGTAAGAATATGGAACTTTATCCATTGAATATATTGAAATATCCATCGTCAGTTATACGATATAAAGTTCATATTTCAATACACATTCACTAAGTATAAAGATGTTGCTGGGAATTCATAAAACAGTTATATACTTTGTTTATATTGATTTAACTCAGAAAAAATATTTTGTCTTTGTTCTTATGTCTACATTTTAATTATAATTATTTTAACTAAAGACAATTAATAGAACAATAATAATAAAGAGTAGAATTTTAAGCAGAAATAAGTAACGATCTTATAGAGCCTTCATATGCAGTTAGTTGTAAATAAAATTGTGTGATTTTAGTAATTTAATTAAGATAAAGAGAATCTAAGTATAAGAAAAACTATTATCGATTGATATAATATGATCAGAATACTATAAATAATATAATAATATTCTTATTCATATGATATATCAATCGCGAACAGTAATGTTTGTTTTGTATTAAGAACAGTAATGTTTGTTTTGTATAAGATTTATATGTTTGTAGTTTCCTATGTGAATGTTTATACCGTCTAACTGTCTAATATTATTTTAAATCATGACCAAATATTTCATTTTGTTAGTGCCATTCTTAATTTTTATAACTAAACTTTTAAGTTATATTTTAAGGATATAGCGTGCAATTAAGGGTAATATTAAAACTAACACATTTTCATTTCAACATTTTAGTTTGTAAAAGTATCTCACAACATGTATATTAAGCACAACTCTGTAGCTATTTGGAAAATTTTCTCATTTTATTTTGAATCCATTTATAAATTTGTCAAAGCCTTAAATCAACTTGAAATATTTGACAGCTCTTTGAATATCATCTGCATTGGATCAAAGTGATTTGTGATAATGACCCGGATTTGACTATCACAACGCATCACTGATTTATTTATCTTAAATTAATTTATAAACTTCGTATCTCCTTTTGATCGTGAGGATAAAAGAAATGTGTTCGTTACGACTTTTTACACTGGATGTTCTGTTACGGTATTTTACACGCGATGTCTTGTTCGGATTGTACAAGACATCACGTGCCTTTTTTGCATTAGATGTAATGTAAAATGTCGTAACAGATACGGTTTTTTTCCTGAGTACAATAAGTTACGAAGTTTCATAACAAAGTCAGCGAAAGGACGTTTTCAGGTTTTATTTAAAAAATTCAAGGATTGTAAATTTAGACGAAAATAAAACATTCAGACTACATGAAATAGTACAAACTTAGTTGTAATATAAATTAGATTAAGTATTCCTGTGTCGCAGAATTGCATTTCTATCACTAGGCTTTCGTTTTGGATATTTTTTAAGATTTGAAAAACATTTAAAACTATAAAATATACGCTTATAATATAAAATTTGTGATCTTTGATTGGAATTAGAGTTTTATTGTATGTAGTTGTAATTTTAATTTGCATTGGCGAATAGATGACGCTTTTATTGTTACCAATATTTTGAACTTTCAATGCATGAGTGTTTAAACCGATTGAAAAATTGTCCGTTTGTACAGCCAGATTTGCTGCTGACTGTATTTGCTTTTGTAATATAATTAAGAAAATGTCAATTAACTGTAAAGGTGAACGTACATATGTCAGCACGCAAGCACCGGCCGCGGGACACTTAACGGATAATTTAAAAAAAAATCTTGTGGTGTCATCAGCACAATTTCGACGTTAAAACTGACAGTCGCCGTCTGACATCGATAAAATCCGTGCAATGAGTTCGTGCGTGCTGAGCCAGTGGACGACCACCTTAATACGAGTTTTTAGTCTACGGGTAGAGTTCGATATCAGTTTGTAAATGTCAATATTGCTATTGTACATGAGGTTATGAAAAAAGTATTATAGATAGAGCAGAACAGCCACTTCTCCCACTGTCCCTCTATTAGAAAGAGTGAGAAGATCGTGGTATCCTGTTTCTTTGTACTCGCGCATGCGCAGTTAACGCAGAGAAAGAACGAACATAATATTTTTATTTAGGTAAAAAAAAATTCTTAACTTAAATCAAATTTAAAGATTGTCTGCCATATTCATGACGTCATTCACATATCTACTGCTTAAAAGATGTCAATCAGAGAAAAACAGCGCCATCCAGGAATGTGCTGTAAACTATATTAGGTTGCTGTTACTGAGGAAATCTGTCAGATTCAGAAATTTTTCTAAAGAAATGACTTCACATTGTGGCGGATCGTGTGTCAAGTAAGTGAACAGACAAAAACCTCACCTTTTAATTTTTAAAAATTAAGAATTAAGACAACTCGAAAACAGAGAAGGATACTGTGATCTCTCTCTTTTAACTGAGGGCGGTTTCCGCTTACAGGCAGTCATTTTTACTCTACTGTTATCCATAAGAAAAAGCGTTAACTACTCAACGCTATCGAAGTTAAAGAATAATTTAAGATTATTTTTAAAAAAAGTATACTTTTTTTAATTTTTGTTTTTAGTTTTAATTTATTTTGAGTAGGTTAAAATTTAGATAATAATATAAAAAGAAAATACAGAAAATTGTGTCTTTTTTGATTTATATGCAATTTATGTGTGTTAAGAGCTAAAATTATGTTCTATTTAATTTCGGTATAATTAACAATAGACAGTTAAGCGTGGCAATATTTATTTACGGTTTTTATTGTTTTAATGAGTAATATTGATAGTTTTATTGTATGTTTTACTTTGTAGTGTTTATTTTGTAGTATCCAAGTACTTTTTGTGAATTATATTGATTCTACTTTTATAATATATACAATAAATGTCCTTTTTATAAAATTATTATATTTCGATTAAATTCATTCAGTTAAAATTTACTTATACCAATTACAACTGGCGAATGAATGACAAAATAGTTTAGATTACTAAATTCAATCTAACGGAATAGTAGAATCAATATAGTTTTGTAACACTTTTGTAATTTTTTTTTTAACTTGCGACTTTTTGAAACTTTAATCATGTGTGTATAGTATGTGTATAATTAAAAAAGGTTAATTTAAAATTATCTGAATTTCCTGGCATGGTGTTGGTGTCGAAGATTTTACTATTATGACTAACAATAAGTTTGTAATGTAAATAGTGTATGCAGTATTGAGGAAATAAAGGATTGAATAAAATATGTTAAGTTTTATTTACGTTAACCTTGATTATGTCTCATTATTTTTTTTTTCAATACAGAGTTTACATGATTCTCAATGAAAAATACTATACTGAAAAATATTCTTAATGAATAATGCTTAAAAATTATGCTTAAATAATTTTTTAAGCATTTTTCATTAAGAGTATTTTTAAGTATACTCTTTATGAAAAATGCTTAAAAAATTGATAAAATATAATAATGAGAACAAATTTTCAGCTTTATCGAAAGTTCAAATATTAGTAAAAAATACTTCTTCCGCCTGTTTGGGTAGATTGCCTGAACATTGATGAACATATGCACTGTAGTAGCGCAAAAGTTATGTGTTTGAAAAATTCGACATTCCTGTTAGGTCCTGTATAGCTCAGTGGTTAGAGCAGTCGCCCGGATGGTAAAAGGTCGTGGGCTCGAATCCCGTCTCAGGGACAAACGAAAAAGTACGCAAAAGAAATTTGCGCATATTTGCGAAGAGGGCGCGTCGTTATAATTGGTCAAATCTCTTGATCAGGCGCTGCTCTCTGTTGTTTACTTATATTCCGAAGTTTTCACGTCATACCACTAATCAATAAAATGAAAGCTTAGTTATTTATAAAATTGTTTTATTCTTTGACTATTTACAATATATATTCTTATATAAAACTTAATTTATTATGTCTTAAATAAATTTAACTTTTGGTTCTCAATAAATAATTATTTAACGTATGTACATTTAATGCTTATTGCTATTGATTTGATATGTATGTACATGGTATTTATTTGTACAAGGCTATGAAGGTATTTTTGTTTTTACCAACGGTAATTGAAAACTCCTCGTGCACCATAATCTTTCATACCTCCAAACCGACTGTAGGTGCCGTCCACGCCGAAATCTCCGTTCTTACCGACCGGCCATCGACCGCCGCCAGCAGCAGACCACTGCAAACAATATTATGAATATACTAGCTGACCCGACAGACTTCGTCCTGTCAAAAAGATTTGTAATGTGGCAGTTTTTTTGCCTACGTATTTAAAAAAATTCTCTTAATATGAACTTTATACCATAGCAATAAAGCTCAAATTGACTACGTTTTATTTACAAATCATTTGTATGGGAAAAAGAAAAGGGCTATTTTTAGGGTTTTTCCAGCAATAATTCTAATTTTTCTCGCCGTAAAAACCATCCTTGAACTTCAACGAACATTTTAAAAAAAGATTTGGCCAAATTGGTCGAGGCGTTGTTGAGTTATGCGCTTACCAACACATTTTGCGATTCATTTTTATATATATAGATAAATATGTAGAGTCATGATAAACACCAAGACCAATCAGACTACGTCTTCAGTTATTGCACATAAGACATAAATTTAAGTTAATTGATTATCTATGGGCCAACTGACATTTCTTGGCTTGTATTCTCTTTTTTAAATAGTTTTTGAGAGTTGCTGGTGGGTTAGTACTTTTATGTTAGTACTATATGGTTTGACTTTTTGTTGTAGTGTGACAGCTATGTTTTGAGAGTTTGATGATTATTATGAAGACGTACCGAGGTGGGGCCGTGTATTTGCTTGCTGACGTCGAAGGAGGCGGCTGCGTTGTCGTTACGCCAGTTGAGCGATCCACCGAGTGCGCTGGACCCGCCCATGGGGCCGATTGTTCGTGTGCCATGCGCTTGCGCATCCAGACGACCGCGTGCGTCGTTGAAGATATTACGCTCTACGCCCGCACGACCCTAATATCAAACATTGAAATAAATATTACGATCACAGTGACAGAGCGAATTCACTCCTTGAGTGAGTGACGGTTTGATGACTTTTATACAATAACTCTGGTTTGGCAGTTGAGGGACGTTCTTTCATTTTCATACTACAAATTAGCTCTCACGTATTTCTTCATAATTGTGAAAATAAAAGATAATTCAATCTCTCTATCGTACTTAGCTTAATAGCAGAGCATACTGAATTCAGTTCTTATCAATATAATAATAGTAAGTAGATAAACATTTGTCTACAAATTGATACTTACGAATAATCCATCATCGTTTTGTCCGAGGGTGCCAAAAACACGACCGTTGTCAGTCTTGTGGTCTATAGTGACGTCTCTACGGTACCTCAACCCTACTTGCGGGTCGACGTAAGACTCTGGGATCAGTTCATAGTTGCTAAAATAATAATATCTATTAAGTTCGTGTAAAACGTTTATACTAAGAATATATATTTATATTATATAAATGAAGGCAATAATTGAAGCACAGATAGACGTTACTTGAGTTAAGAAAGTGATATTCCTGTTGCATGCAATTGGTATTGGTAATAGCTTTTTACAAGTTTAATGGCGATTTGGGACTTTTGGATGTGTTATTTTGTTATTTATTAGTGTGCATTTTGTCGCATGGTGAACATTATAGATACTATAGAGTATTACTACATTTGTTAAGCATTTGAGAGCAACACGCGTTTTGGATTACCTACAGCGGTTTCAATTTAAATGTATTTACTAAATATTGAAATTGAAAAGAATAAAAATTATTCTCCAACATCAAATTACTAATGTTGATTGATTAATATCTAATAAAAAAATATTCCTAAGCACGGTACCGGTAATATCTGTTACATCATTAAACTCGTTTACTCTACGAGTTTTTTTGTATCGATACTTGAAATAATCGGCTATAGTTCATTCTTCTGATTGACGCTTCTTCAAAGAGCCAGTTTTTATAATAACCAACCGTAAATAGAGCTTTAGTCACGCAGTGACAATGTCACCCCTTAAAGTTGCATGATATGTAGCCCGTATTGTGAAATACGATGTTTTTGGTAACCTTTGTGCTACAAACGAATTAGTTCGTATTTAGCACAAAGGTTACCAAAAACAGCAGGTTGGCACTAATATCATGCTTGCACAAAAAAATAAAGTTGACGGAAGCTCTTAGTGTAGTTTACAAAACAACTTACTTGAATAAGATTTCATAGGGATGGTGATCATACTCTTGGGCTGTGGCAGCTACGAAAACGACCGCGAATGCGATGAGGGCCTGCATTTTCTGAAACTACACAAGAAATTTAGTATATTGTAAAATCCTTGAGAGTATTGTGCTATGGTAAAATCTTAACTAACATATTGAACAGAAGAAATTAAATATTGTTAAAAATTTTGAGGATTAAAGTTGTTATTTTTTGGTAAAAATTTTTTTTTTAATAATAATATATCCAAGAAACAGAGCAACTTTTTAATATTACTTTTTATAGTTTATTTATGCTTTATTTTTTGTCTTCAATTCTAATTTTAAAGCGCCTTCAAACGATATTTGTTAAAGAAAAAAGCACTTACCTATTTGTTTCCTTTCCTCTCAAAACACTAGTGAACAGAGGGTTGCAATACTAATGTGAAGATAAAATTCCTCAATCGTATTTATACTAGTTAAAAACGGTCCGGGGTTCCCTGTGGTCCACGTACTGAGTGATGCCCCTCGGTATCTCCTTAAATTGTTCGTTTAATTGAGATAAAAGAGATTTAGTTTGAACTCTATAAATAACCAAGTGTGCTTATGAAATGATTCATATTTGTTTATAAATAGAGTTGCGAATGATAATGATTTATTAATCATGCGAATGTTTTATGTGGGTCAATAAACGGTCAATGCTATTCACGATCAGCTGTAGCGGTAAAAAACATTCTTCTCTCCACTTGCTGTTTTATTATGTAATAGATTGACAGCAAAGTGGTTAATGCGTTAGATTTGTTACTGAGAAGAATAAGCAACTTTTGCTGAGGTCGCTCATTGGATAGGTGAACTAAAATTTACTGTATCGAGTTCTTCCGTACCTCAGACAGTTTGAACAGGAAAGTTAACCCTGTTCTTGACTTTATATTTAGTCGTTAATACCTATCACTCTATTCAGGTTATTTGTATCCCTATGGATACAAATATTATTACCCTATGGTAGGATGATGATTATTATTCATACAATATGAAATGTTAGTTATATTTTAGCAAACAACCTGTCACTTTCCTTAAGAAATTCTACAGTAAACACAACATTTGGGTGCATAGGGGAAATAAAAGCTTGAATGTCTGGGTCGAAAAATAATGACAGTTACTGGTAAAAAATAGGTGAGTATTAATATTATAAAAATCTAGCCATAAACAAACATGACAACTGCTAGTCTTTTTTTTAAATTACCTATACAGTGATAGTTACTGGCAAAATATATCTAAAAATTAACATTATAATATACATATATAACATTTTTTTTAATGACCTATACAGTGATAGTTACTGGCAAAATATATCTAAATATTAACATTATAAAAGCACAACAGCCGAGTTCTTTAATTAGCTACGCCGTCATATTACATTGATTACACGTGGAAGAAGTAGGTATATGCGGAAAACATGTGTTATCAGTATCACTGAACCAATAATGGATGTCACAATATTAATTTTAAACGGGGAATCACTTTGAACGGGAGATGGTTGTAATACAATATGGCGTTATGTTGTTCCCCTCAGTTATGTTTATTAAGGGTCGCGGTGGTGATTTGTAACAGTCACTGCTTATATCTAGTGCTGTAAGAATAAAATTATCAGAGTGTTCTTTATTAGAATAAGTTAATTAATATACTTAAATTTGGTAAGTTACTATTAGGTACTTCATGTAAAAAATGTAAGAAATCCTCGAGTAAGAATTTTGCAACTGGATATAAAAAATATCGTCGTTGTCAACTGGATAAAAAAAAATAGATTTAATGTTTGTAATTTTTATAGAAAGATATATTATATATAAGATTTATTCCTTTAATAAATATAGCACTTGAATAGTCAAAGGATAAGAAGCAAAGTTAGTATTTAAAGTTAATAATCTAGGCTTTTATTTATTGTTATACCAAATGTGTTATACCAAAGTAAATATTGAGTGAAGAAGTAACTAACTTGTTGACTACTTTCGCCATTATAATATTTGTAAGATAATATATGAATAATAAAATATGTTTCAGGAACTTACGATGAAATTGCTATGTATTTTTATCGCTGTCGTCGCTGTAACAACAGCACAAGAGGAATTCATACATCCTTACCCGCTATTATTCAGGTGAATTATTATACTGCACACAACTACTTTTGTATTTGTTAAATAAATACCTACTCGATTTTCGGTACGAACTAAAGACTCGCATTTTACTTAACAATACAACTTTAACTTTAATTTCAATTCAAAAACATTTCAACACAAGTTTCAACAACAGTTCATCTTTAGGATAGTGCAGTGTTGGATAAATAAGACAACTTTATGCGATTATTAAATCCTATTAGACTCTTCGTAACCTTATATATCAGACTAGCTTTCCGACAGCGGCTTCGCCCGCGTGGTCTTGTATTATACATAAAAACCTTCCTTTTGATTCACCCTATCTATGAAAAAAAACCGCTTCAAAATCCGTTGCGTAATTTTAAAGATTTAAGCTTACATAGGGATATAGGGTCAGAGGAAGCGACTTTGTTTTATACTATATAGTGATGAGTTTGTATTTGTAAAGATAGTACAATAGAAAGCATACAAAATTATATTTTGTTAATTAAAGAAAACTATCAACGATATTTTTATAGTTGTGCGTACAAGACCATATGGTACCACAGGATCATTAACATTAAATGACTTTTCAGGGACGATTTACGCGGTCTCAGTCTTCCAACGGAAATGAGTGTGAATTCGAAAACGGGAGAAGTCACTTTAGGAAATAGGATTATAACCGGGGGAAGGCGTGGTGGCTTCGGTGCGCATTATGAACGAAATCACAATGTTATTACGGTGAGTGACAATCCATTCTAGTGATAAATTTAAAATCGCTTCCTGCGAATTAATAATCAAAAAAAGTTAATTGATATTCCTTGTAATTAATTATCAAGTTTTCACGAGAATACACGCATTTTTGTTTTGTTCTTGTGAATCTTCATTCGGAATGAACTTATATTGACATTTTATTTTGTATTGATCTATATTACAGCCTGTTTAGATAGCATTGGAGCTAAAAGTAATTAAATAATGTTTATCATTCGCCCGGATTGCAAAAGGTCGTGGGTTCGAGTTCCATCTCAGAGTGTCAGATACAAAGTAGTAGTAGCATTTTGCATTTTATTCATCTTTCAGAAATCCAATGCAATATAAATACCAAATGACTTTTGATTTGTTAATAGGTATCTAATTAATTATACTTATTGTAATTTTTTATAGGGTCCTTACCGCCATTTAATCAATATAAAAATTACTGTGAAATACATTATGAACAACTTTAAATTGGGAAATATTTCTTTTGTATTAGGCACTATGACGTCTCTGCGCACGCCACTACCATAAACAAAATGGTCCATATACATGCAGCTAACTTTTATGACCCCTATAGCCAGGGGCTTCGCCAGCCGATGCCCCAGGGCGGGGCAACTTGTTTATGGAGAATGGAGCTAAGTATGAATTGTAGCTAAGTCGAGAGCACATGAAGCTTTTTACTTGCAGTGTGAGCCTTACATATACGACAGTTATCTAATAATATCTAAGAAAATTGGTGAAATATTTACTGGGCCGACTGCAGGAGGGAGTTTTAAAACTACATACCAACGATGTGACAATGAAAAAAATATGGCTGATGAAAAAATGGTCAATTCTTGCTTACTTTATCCAAGGGACTCTATTTTCACTTTAAGAACCTACAGAATAAAATTCTAATTTTATTTTGTAAGTTGAAACTCTATGCCACCGGTCCGTAAATCCATGACGGGAGACTTTTTACCGAGAACATCCGGCAAGAACTTCAGCACGACTGCTTTTGGAAACTCCAAGAGCATCATATGTAGTGGTTGCTATTCGTAGAGAGATACTACAAAACCGTGAATGATTTTGGGAGAGGAATTCAGTTATAAATAAATGAATATCGATCCGGCGATTTTTATTTATAGTCTCTCTCTTTATAGCTTCCGTACATAATGAAGTACACAGTGATTGAATTTCTTTAATAAAAGACTAAAGAATGTTTTTGTTTAATTTTTATTTCTCTTCGTTCCATAAAAATAAATCCTTGAAATGTGAAAGTTTCTGCTCATTCGTCATCTGCAATAATTATTAAAGCAAATATTTTTAACAAATAAACAATAAGTTGAAGTACGAACAGTTAATAGTTAGAATAATGTTAGTATTTTTATTTAATAAGTAAGCTTAGTTTGCAAATTAACTGTCGACTTTGGCCTTCATACAAATATATTGATAATTAATATTCACTTAAGTTATGGCATTTTCTCAAGTAATTACATTTCTGAACTACTCTCCCTCTTCTAGAATCGACTAGGCAAAGTTCAAAACAGATTATTTTACTTTCGACGTTGGACTTAAAAGTCAGGCACTTTTGCGTATGATTAAATGTATGTTACAGTAGGCATAAAATAAAAAAAAATACTTGACATTCAATATGTTAACAAATACTAACTATAGATCAATAGATTATTAGACATCAATACGATACTTAATATAAATACGATACTTTACTTAATAAGTAGCTCGGTGGCGTAGTGGATAAGCGCCACGGCCCGCGATCGTAGTCGTAAAGCAACTTTCGCAAGGGTCGGTCACGGGATGGGTGACCAAAAAATTATTATCTCGAGCTACTCCGTGCTTCGGAAGGCACGGTAAGCCGTTGGTCCCGGCTGCATTTGCAGTCATCAATACCCTCCAATCCGCATTGGGTCAGCGTGGAGGGTCATGGCCCATCCTCCTTAACCATCCATAAGGAAAGCCTGAGCCCCTGCAGTGAGGACGTAAAAGGGCTGGTGTGTAGATACGATACTTTATAAAATTTGATAAGTATTTGTTTAATTTGCTTAAACTCAATTTGATTCATTATTTTTTTTTAAAGATCGGCCTGTCCGTTCCAAAGTGTCCTGTCCCACGGAATTATCTTTTCACACACTTATTTATTACTATAAATATGTGAAAAGATAATTCCGATTAACAATCTTTTCAATGTAATTAAATTACATATGTTGGCAATAAATGTTGGGTCACAAGCTGAAATTAAATTTTCATTTGAAGAAAACGCCCAACATGTACTACATAAATATAATTCGAGCATATCAAACCTTCAACAGATTGAGTAGATATT